TGCCGGATGAAGTTCTAGTCACTTTGTATAACCTTTCTCTTGGTTCAGTATATTTTTTGCGCTACTTCGTAAAGTATAGATTCTTGCTCTTATGATGTGTGTCACGGCGATACAGACAAAAGTTTAGTAAAAGCTCATCGGAGTCGCAGGACGGGAGACCCAGGACAGCTGCGTACAATCCAACAGACTTCACTAAGCCATAATCCTCCTTTAGTTTCTGGTATCAGCAATTCACGAATTCCTTGCAGCAAACCTTTTCTTCGAAATGGAAGTTCATGCCAAAATAAACGCTGTCATTCATACAAAAGGTATGTAGAAAAACTGGGTTTCGCAGGATCCCTTAATATATTGATGTTGGAGTACCTTTTATTTCGTTTGAAGAGGCGAGTGGAAGGGATTCGTAAGTTGGTTCCACCAGAGGTTGCCCTGTAGCTGTGGTTGTAGATTTGTGCGAATCGGTCCTCGGCGCACCGCCCTCCGACCCCAATGAATCTTTGCTGAGCTTTCGTCCTTCGTGTGACAGACATCGTCAGAGCAGGACATCATGCTCAACGAAAATTCACCAAAAACACGAAGGCAAGAAAAGTGACCAGCTTCAAACCTACTTCCTTCTCATAGTCCAATTTGGTCCACTTGGGCATCTCATGCCTTGGTTGGACGTCCTAAGCTTGCCTCCATATTTGCTCATAAGTTAAGCTAATTGGCTGCGGATGACATGTGAAGTGGCTAAAGATAGAGCGTGAAATGGGTGCAATGGAAACCGAACAGCTGCATCCTCCCCTAAAACAATTATGCCTTTGATCCTGCAATGTTACTGCATGTGATTGCGTCCCATTACAGGTGTGTTGTGTGAGTGAATTGCTCTTGAAATGAGTGTGATGTTAGAGTCAAAACCAGATTCCAGCCTAATCAAGCCTCCTCCTCCTCTTGCTCGGTGGTACTTCTCGTTCGCCCCCCTCTCCGTCTTTAAACCTGTCCAACAACCACAAGTAGTTTCCGCTTAACTTCCTACACTCATTTCTTTTATAAAGGGTGTTGGCTGTTTTGTTGGTTTCTATCGCCCCCCTAATCGTTCGCCTACTGGTTGGTACAGTCTCCATGTCCAGCTAAGCATTTGGCACTAGAACAATCTATCTGGTGTTCTGTGCAAAACATGTGTTTGGCCAATTCCGATTTTTCGACCCACACACCCTTGCAGGCAGTTTTGTGTTCGCATAACCCCTTCTGTATGGGTCTACCGGTCTCTCCCCCATAGGCACTACCACATGAACACAAAATCATATAACAACCCGATCTGGGGAGCGGGTCAGAGTACTCTCGAAAAGAAGGCAATACCGAGGATAGCGTTATTTTCTCTTCATAAATGGTCCCAATACCCCACCTCCTCAGTAATTCGCATATCTTCTTCGACATATTACACGATGGCAGCATGATGATTCTGGTATAGTGATCTACCTTTATATCTAGCCCCAAATATGTATTTCCCTTCACTCTATTTGGCAATATTCTTAAATAGTTGTCAACCCGTCCTCCTGCATAATTATTCACAACCTTAATTCGCCTTAGTCTCCTCAGTCCCTGGTCCCGATGTTTATCATCTGCCAGACGCAGGCTCCTTATTATCATAAACTTTATGACTCCCCCTTATCCTCATAAGTGTGGTTGAAGAAGAGATTTAAAAGGAAACCTACATTTGTGGGTTCGGGGTCGCAGTGCGGTGCACTGAGGACCTATTCGCACAATTCTACATCCACAGCTCCAAGACAACCCCCCCCCCTCCACACAGCCTCCCGTGGAACCAACTTACGAATCCCTTCCACTCGCATCTTCAAACGAAATGAAAGGTACTACAACATGATTCATACAAAAGCTTCCAATTAACTCTAAGTCAAGAAGAGTAGTCAGTTCTACTTTAAATGTTATATGCATCCAAAATTATGGTAACCGAACAGAAATATACATTTCATTTTCTATCAACTAAACCTGACATACATTAAAAATTACCCAATCGAAATGATGCATTTCCTTGGGTCATCAAGTCATAGTGACCGTAGATCTACGTTAAGCATGTTTCTAGGTATTTACACTGTAACTTAGAAAAACATACAAACGCTCACATATACATACATTCAAATACAAATTGTATAGAGGTGGTTTGACCTTGTTTTCGCAAATTGTTCGTTTTATCAGGTCGGCCTTGTCCAGAGTCCTCTGCCATGCGTATTCATGATAGTTCCCAGCTTAGAAACGAGAATTTGGTACATTCACCGAAGTTTCGTCGGCATCATCAGTGAGTCCTGTCAGTCTTAGAAGAAAGCCACAACTCGTTAACGAGACAAGTGACCGCTTGATCAGATTTCTGGTTCCTCTCCTGGTACATCTATCCATTCTTTATACTCGTTTAAGGCTCATCCTCTCGCGATCTATCACAACTTTCATCATCTTCGTCTTCATATCTTCCAATGCGTTTTGAGTGGCGGATTAAAGGGGTTCATACAGTCGTATCAACGGAAAACGAAACCGTGGATTGATGTGAATAAATTCTCTTAGTTAAGTATGATTTCACACTCTGAAAAAATACACGGATAGATCGAGATCGCAAGGCGATTAGCTGGAGTCTTCTTCACACATTCTAACAGGACAAGCCCACTTTATATCGTAGACATGAAGGCCAAGATGGTGTGGCCTTTTGTTTGATCGCAGTCTCTCTTAGCTGTACAGCGTTGGTTTGATTTCGTTTTGGTAACTTGGTCGGAACGACAGAGATCTCGAGGAAGTTAC